TGAATAATACCAAAATATTCTTGAAGTATTCAGGATTTTAGCACGGTTTTATTAGAATATTCTTTTGTTGGATTCGCCAGTCCGCGGTCGTATCAAGCTTGTCCTGAGGATACATAAATAATACGACTACTACATAGCATCTACGAATGATTAAATGACATTTGAATAAGATCCGTGGGATTCAAAATATTTTTAGATTTTATCTTCATTTTATCTCTCGTTTGCTGTGAATAATACCAAAATATATCCGAAGTACTACTGCAATACAACCAAAATATAGACGCGCGCTGGCGGAGGAATATATAACGATTTTATTGGAATATTCCTTTGTTGGATTCGCGATAAATAAATAATACGACTACTACAGAGCATCTAAGAATGATTAAACGACATTTGAATAAGGTCCGTGGGATTTAAAATATTTTTAGATTTTATCTTCATTTTATCTCTCGTTTGCGGTGAATAATACCAAAATATATCCGAAGTACTACCGCAATACAACCAAACTATAGACGCATGCTGGCGGAGGAATATATCACGGTTTTATTGGAATATTCATTTGTTGGATTCGTAGGTCCGCGGTTGTATCTAGCTTGTGACGAGGATAAATAAAAAATACAACTACTACAGAGCATCTAAGAATGATTAAACGACATTTGAATAAGATCTGTGGGATTTAAAATATTTTTAGATTTTATCTCTCGTTTGCGGTGAATAATACCAAAATATATCCGAAAAAAATATCCGAGTTACTACCGCAATACAACCAAAATATAGACGCGCGCTAGCAGAGGAATATATCATGGTTCTATTGGAATATTCCTTTGTTGGATTCGCAGGTCCGCGGTTGTATCTAGCATGTACCGAGGATAAATAAATAATACGACTACTACAGAGCATCTAAGAATGATTAAACTTAATTTTAAAATGTTTTGAGAATTTATCTTAATTTTAACTCTAATTTGTATTGAATAATACCAAAATATTCCTGAACAACAATAATATTAACAAAATATCTTGATTTGATTAGAGAGCTATATATACAACCATAATATTGCAGCAAGATTAAAATATTTTAGACAACAAGACTACAATAATACTGCAATAATTCCACAATACTACGAGGATAATACTATAACAAAAAATATACAAGAATAGCATAACACAATAAAACGACAACAATACGACAACTACTACTTCAAAAATACTGGAATGATTATTGCAACTAATAAAACAGAAATACTACAATAAAACGACAAAAATACCACAACTATTACTTCAAGAATACCGTAACGAATATTGCAACTAATAAAACAGAAATACTACAATAAAACGACAACGATACTACAACTATTACTTCAAGAATACTGTAACGATTATTGCAACTAATAAAACAGAAATACTACAATAAAACGACAACGATACTACAACTATTACTTCAAGAATACTGTAACGATTATTGCAACTAATAAAATAGAAATATTACAATAAAACGACAACAATACTACAAAGATTATTGCTACAAATCTGAAAGGAAAACTATAATAAAATGACAATAATACTACAACGATCATTGTAACTAGTTATTCAGGAACACTACAATAAAACGACAATAATACTACAAGGATTATTGCAACTACTCATTGAGGAATACTAAAATAAAAAGACAATAATCCGAGAATAATATAACGATTGAAATACAAGAATAACAATATTAACAAAGAAATAAGTCTACTGATTACGGTTTTGTACCCACAAACAAATATCTTGGGCAAGCTCTGCCCTAAATTTTGGCATTTCTGT